GAGCTTGGGGGGCCTTGGGGAACCGCACAGAGGCCCGCTGTGCTGGTGGATACTGACCCCTCTTCCCTGCAGCTTCCAAGGGCTGCATCAAGTGCGAGGCACCCTGCCCGGAGGACTGGCTGCTCTACGGAAGGAAATGCTACTTCTTTTCTGAGGAACCGAGAGACTGGAACACGGGCAGGCAGTACTGTCACGGCCACGAGGCCGCGCTGGCTGTGATCCAGAGCCAGAAGGAGCTGGTGCGTGCTGGTGGGGCGGGGACCTTCAGGGACAGCCCTGCCCCAAGGACCTGGTGTCCCCTGTGACCTGTTTCCAGAGCACAGCCTGGGGTGGGGGGTGCAGGTGGGCTCCATGGGGTCTGAGCAGGTCCACGAGGGGCTCTTGTTTCCACTGCTATTGTCAAGGCCAACTATGTCCACCCGAGGCCGGTTTGCTGAGCTCAACTCAGTATTGAAGCGTGAGCATTACACATTATACCTGCACTTGTGAAATGAAAAATCGCGTTGGCTTCTTCTGCTAGTCCAAATCAGGGCCTGATCTCTCATTTAACACAGTTATATCACTAGAAATGTGAAAGAAACACAATTAGTGGGTCCCTTGGCCATTTTGGGTTTTGAGGGCAACAGTTCATGCAATCCAAATTAGCAGAAAATCTAAGTCGCTTCTGTTTTTCTCTGATACACAGTCTGATAGCTCCTTTCGGCAGAGAAAGGCCCAGGAATATGCGGGTAGGACGACATCCAGCCTGAGCTTTGAGATGTGTCCCAGATAACCCATCAAGTAGGCAGTTCCAGGCTTCCTGAAAGTGAGGAACGCAGGCATGCTGGCCCACTGAGCTAGGAGACAAACCCTATTCCAGGCTTCCTGGCCCAGTGGTGCACTCCCAGAGCCCGGGTCCCTTGGAGGCCATCGCAGGCAGCTCCACGTGAGTGCAGGGTGTCTGTAACCCCAGCTCCTCACTCTTGGGATGCAGTGAGGCGTCACCCTCTCCATGTCTATGCATCTTGGGAGCCAGTCTTCCAAGCTGAGGTTAGTCTGGGGACGTGTGAGCAGTCAGGAGACCGCACCTGACTGAGGTTTCCCTCTTTCCTTGGTGCAGGAATTCATGTTCAAGTTCACACGGAGGGAGCCCTGGATTGGTCTGCGCAGAGTGGGGGACGAATTCCACTGGGTCAACGGGGACCCGTTTGACCCAGACACGTGAGCTGAGGCTTCATCTTCTGGCCAAGGAGCTTAGACCGGGGAAGCCATAGCCTCCCGGACGCACCTCCTGAAGAACCTGGTTTTATGCCAGCTGGAGCCACTCACCTCTAGGGTCAGGGGTGTGGGACAGAGACGCAGTCATGATAATGGCTTTACTACTCTCTCCCTGGTAAAGTCCAGCCTGGTTTGGTGGCCCTGCTCCACGTAGGCAACAGAGCTTCCTGCTGCTGGAAAGGGCCCGGGCTCTTTCCATCTTGTGGCTCCCCAGTCCATCTGCACGGCTCAGTGTGGCTCAGGGAAAGGGAGGACATGCCCTGGACATCCCTCTGCGTTGGCCAGAACTTAGCTTCACGGCCACACCTGACTGCAAGGGAGGGTGGGAGGTGGGGCCTCTGTTCTGGGCGGCCACGTGTCACCTAAACGTTGTCACTGTGGGAGAAATGGGATCTGAACCCTGGGCACCAGGAGGGTTCCCTTAGAGAAAACACCTATTGAGGGTGTTGGTGGTGTGTGCAGTGGTGGTATTATTTGTGTGGCCCACGTGGTATGGCAGGGAGCGTGTGATGGGTTGGTGGGTGTGCAAAGCCAGGGACTGTTTGCGGGGCGATGGTGGCAGGAGTCATGGGTGTAGGGGCAGTTTAGGCTTAGGGAGACGCAGAGCAGCACACACAGGGGAGTAAGAACCTCAGCTTCTGACGTAGACTCTAAGGCTGGAGGACTAGGCCCGAGGAGCCGGGCGGGGGCCAGCTGCTGACCCGACGTGAACTGCGGCCCGTGACAACTCCTTCCCTGTGCCGGCTTCTCCCTGTCTCCTGCACCTGTCTTTGTCCTCACTGCCTCTTCCTTGTTTTCTTTTTTTTTTTTCCTTCTCTTTCCTTGTCCTACCCTCATCCCAGATCTGTTCTTAGAGCTGATGAGAACGTCTTGCCCTTGCTGCTCCCACCTCTCCCCTTCTGGAAGCTTCCTGCTCCCGGAACCCAGGGAGCCCTGGAGGCTGGGGTCCCCAGAGCGCTGACTACCTGACAACCAGCGGGCCTTGGGGCCACGCTTCTCTGACATCGAGGTGGTCCTGGCCCCCCTTCTCCCTCTTGGGGTCCTCCTGATGCCCTCTCTTATGAGACCCCAGCTCCAGCCTTGGCAGGGGGCTCAGGTCAGGGTGACCAAATGAGGTGAAGAAGTGTTGAGATTCAAAAGGGATGATGTTAGGCAGGGAGAACCCGCCCTGTGCTAGACACAGGAGGTGCAGGCAGGGCGCTGTGGGGAAGGTGGGTGTGTGGAGCGTGGTCCTAGACGGGGCCCCGGGTTCCTGGGATGAGTGAGCTGAGCCCGACAGGAATGGCGGAGCCGGATGGAGGAGTGCAGGGTGCGTCCCAGAAGCACCCGTGGGCATCACCGGGGGGCTGGAGCCGTGATGCACTGTCTGGAGGCGACGGGAGCCACGCTAGCAAGGTCTGTGGGGGCCGACTGTCCCGGAAGGCCGCTCCAGAGGGAAGGACAAGTCATAGGGCCTCTGGGGCTGCCCAGTGACAGGCCGCGTCTGCCAGGTCATGAGTGCCTGGTCTCTTCTCTCCCCGCCACAGATTCCCCATCTCGGGCCCGGGGGAGTGCGTCTTCGTGGAGCCCACCAGGCTGGTGTCGACGGAGTGTCTGATGACCCGGCCCTGGGTGTGCAGCAAGATGGCCTACACATGAGGTGGGTCAGGCCAGGGGCGGCCCTCCAGCCAGCCTCCGAGGCCTGCCAGCCCCGTGCTCGTCTCCAAGCGAAGCAGTGAGGAGGTTGCCTTCTGCCCCTGGGTGCTCCCCCAGGCCCCGGAGTCTTGGTCCCTGGTCTCCTTGGCCCCAGGCAGGTCCTGTGGCTCGGAAGTCAAATCCCATGAGTCAGTAGCACAGCAGGCATCTGTCCCCAGCCACACATGCACCCTGACACGCTCACGCATGCCCACGAGGGCACACAGCCCCCGCTCAAATTCAGAGTCCACCTTAGTCACCCCAACAAGTCCCTCCTGGCCCTACCCTGGAACATTCCCTCCTCCGGAGGCCCTGGTGCTCTGAGGAAGGCTGGGGGCTGACAGGCTGCGGTACTGTCCACACAGACGGGCCCCCTCCCCATGCATCTCTCTCCTGGTTGCTGGGGAGGCCAGAAGGGAAGCCCCCTCGCCTGGGGTCTCAGGCAGGCCCCTGCTGTGTCCGTGGTGCTGCCGTGTTGGTCACTGATGGACTAAAGAGACGACTGGCGTCCAGAGAAGTCGGCTGCCATTTGTTCCAGGATCATGGCTTGGGGGAGGGGCATGTCTCTGGGTGCCCGTCCTTGGAGGGACATGACCAAGAGGCACCGGTGCGGCAGGCGGCATGTGTAGCAAGCAAGGCCGAAAACACACTCTGTGGCCTCAGGGCACCGTTCAATGTTGCCAGGCCACTGAGTTATTCTCAGATGTCTGAGGGGTGTGCTCCATCTGGTTCCTTCATTACTATTCAACTCAGCGTGACAAACATTGATCCACACCTACTTCGTGCCAGACACCACACTAGGCATGGGGACCCACAGCTTCATCCCCCAAGGAGCGCACAGGGAGCAGAGGAAACAGCTTGGAAAGCACTAGAACGTTCTGGAACCCAGTTGAAGGATGGCTTATTCTGCCTTAGAGGAAGATGGGGTGAAGAAAGCAGGAGGATGAGCCACGGAGAAGAGATGATGTTCATGTTGGGCCGGTTAAGAGTTTGTGCAGGTGCTGGGGCCCCTTCCTGTGCCCCCTTGGTCTGCCTGGAGAGGAAGCGGGGACAGGGGTGTGGGGGGAGGCTGGCGGTTCCCCTGGGCCTACAGGGGCTGCAGGTGCCACCCTCTCCAATGCACACATGTGGAGCCCAGAGCAAGCTGTGGCCGGGTGAGACACAGCCAGCCCGCGTGGGAGCCGCGTGTGTGAATCTGGGTCCCGGCCCATCTTCAGAAAATGGCTCACAGGGAAACAGGTCCTGCTCTGCTCGGCTCAGTCCTTTTACTGTCAGTTTTCAGACAAAACTGTCAGCTTGGGTTCGTTGAGCTTTTTGAAAGCTTTCCAGGTATTTAGTAAAATCTGGGGATTTTGTGGTTTCATATTTTATCTTTACGGGAAAGCCAGCGTGGAACCTGAGTGTGCAATAAAGAAGCTAAGGGAATTCAGTGCGGCCTGTGGAGGGGTGGCGGGAGCCCACCGCCTTCCCAGCCCCTGTGGGGAAGTGTGTTGAGGGGCTGGGATTGAGGAAGCGGTCAGCTGCCGCTACTGCTGCTTGGGTTGGTCAGGGGTCCGGGTGGTAAGTGGGAGGGCGTCTCTCCCTCACGCCAGTTCTCACCAGTATCTTCCCCTCAAAGATGGGCTCATTGCTTTCCACGTGGCACCTCATTTAAGTCTCTCAGAAAGACCCTGAGGCACGTAATGCTGCCACGGGTGACAAAACGTCCTGGACGGGGTGGGCTAGAGCTGTGCTCTCATCCTGTCCTGTGGGTTCCGGCGGGAAGAAGGGCGCCACGACGTGGGTGGGGAGGGAGCAGTGTGGGACGGCAGGGACCGAGGAACCCGGGCCACTGGGATCTTAGTTCTCATTCAATATGCACAGCCTGCTGCCTCAAGGCACACTGGCAGATGAGCTCTCTAGCCTTGGGCTTGCCCTGGGACCGCACAACAATTCTAAGTCCGGTAGAGCTAAGAGGAACTCTGACCCAAGGTCATGGGTGTTTTATGAGCTCTCTTATCTGTTCCGACGAGGAAGACCAAAACAAAACACTGGCACGCCAAACTTCAGAAACATTGAGTATTCTTCCAAAGGTTATACACCAACCAGGCACCCGCACCTCCCACGTGGGCGGAGCCAGGCTGGGTGGGCGGGGCCGCGGAGTCGGGTGCAGTTGGGGCCGGCGGCCACAGGTGCAGCACGGAGGCCGGACGCTCTGCCGGTTTCGGAGCTCGAGCTGGCCGCCCCCTCGGTGGAGCGTAGGAGGAGGTGTTGGCGGCAGGCCCAAGGGACCACCCTTACTCCAGCCCCACTCCTCAGCCCCTTTGGAGGATTTGCCCCTGGAGTTGAGAAGGTGCTTGGCTGGGAGCCTGGGCGGCTGCGCCCTGGGTGAATTTGACCCCGCACGGCAGCCCTGTCCTCGGCGTAGCCCCTGGAGCCGGCAGGATGCGGGTAGAAGGCTGGAGCACGCACACCAGGTCACCCTCAGACGTCCTTTGTGAAGATGGAGGGACGGGGTTATTTTTTGCAGGAGGACTCACTTGGAGGTAGCGTTTGTTGCCGTGCTGGTGGGTTTCACTAATGTTTGCTTAGTAAACCCTCCCACAACCTTACAGATGAGGACGCAGGCTCAGGGCGGTTAAGGGACTTGCTCTACTGCTGTACATCACAGGCCTAGGAGGTGGTGGAAGGGGAGGCGGGGTGGAAGGGGCCACCTTGGGAGAGGACGTGGGGTGCCCACAGGCGATTTTTTTCCTGTGCACTTTTATCGTCGTCGTTGTATGGTTTTCAGGTGAATTTCCCATAGGGAGGGGGTAATGCAAATACTGAGTTCCGTCCTTCTCTCCCTTCAAGGTCCAGCTCGAGCTCCCTGGGACTCCTTCCAGGATAGCGGCAGCCCTCAGTGACCACTCCCTCACCCCAGCAACTCCAGCACTTAAGACTGAGCCTCCTCTCACACCTCCGGAGTCTCTCGGAAGTTTTCATCTGTGACTCATCTCTAAAGTCATCTGACCGCTCTTGGCATCTGACTATAAGCCCCTGGATAGCAGGGATTATGTGTCACTGGCCTCTTTGTAGCACACACAGCATGTGCTCAAAAAAAAATTGTTGTATATGACAATAAGGTTGCCCCCAAATGTCATCTCTGAAACTCTTTGCCACGGTGGGAGACAGCAGTGGCCGGCCATCATAAGAGGCTCGTCTTTTTGGCTTTGGTGGGCGTGGCTTTTTGGCTTTGGTGGGCGTGGCATGGTTTTAGAGGCCCGGCAAGATGCACTCTTTAGTTTGTTTTGCTTCAGTTAAGTTAGCTCGCTCACATTCCCTAAGCACGTAGATACTGGGCGGGCTGAGTGGAGGTGACAGGGAGCATCCAGGCCGTGAGGGAGGGAGAGCTGCCTTCGCCTCCAGAACATCCTCTCCATCACACACAGAGCCCCGCTGGCGAGGGCAAGGAGCTGGCTGCGAGTGGAAACCAGGCCCGGGGAGGGTTTCCATCAGTGACTGCGGCTGGCGGCTGAAGATTCCTGTGGTCACCAGGATAATTATGCTAACATCACTGTGCTGTTTGTGAAAGACGACCTGGTTTTCAGAAATGCCCACTGTCTGCTGTGTATTTACATCAGGAGGGGGTGGAGGTAGAGGAGGTAACTGCTCTTTCCTTAGTCCGTAAAGAACTCCAAACTGGGAGCAAGTATGAGATTCAAACAGGGGTCATCCAGAAAACCTCCTGCCGTGCCCATCAGAGATCCCCCGTCTCAGCCTGGAGTGGACACACACTTTGCCTGACTCAGAAGACCTGCCCGAGTCTAGTCTGGGGCCAGCTCTACCAACAGGCAGATGTGTAGCTCAGGCTGCTGTGCTCAACCTCCCTGACCCCAGGCTTCACCTCTAATATAAAGTAGAAATCGTGCCTGCCCTGCCTACCTCACAGGGTTTTGAGAACTGTAGATGTTAGAATTTCAGGGATTAGAAATTATCGACCCCATTCTCACTATCCATGAGACCACGAGAGGTTAAATAACACGTCCAAGGTCACGCATCTAGCCACGCATCTAGTGGCAGAGCTAGATCTCAGGTCTTGTGGCTCCTCTATTCGTTGTTGATACTATTATTGCACGTATCATGCTTTGTTTGTTTACCTGTCCACCATCCACGCAGAAGTGTAAGCCCCTAGAGGGCAGGGATCCACTCTCACGCCCCTTTTTTCTCTAGCGCCTGGTACATACTAAAGGTGCTCAATAAACGTGTGTTGACCTAAACTGATCTTGACTCCTAGTTCAAGGGCTCCTTCTTCTACACCATGCTGTCTCTGATCTCAGAAATCTGTACTGCCAGTCCAGCTGCCCACAAAAAGTATGCAAACTTGCAGATGTTTTAGAGAAAAAGATAAGATGCTCAACTGCCTTGCAATGTGCTTTAGGGTCCTGTAGTCTAGAGCACAGATTCCATTTGAATAAAGACATACACATCTAAGACAAAATTGTAGTAACAATGAACACTAGTTAAGAGCTTATTAGGGCCAGCCATTCATACAAAGTGCCTGGCCCATAGTAAGTGCTTAAAAATTATCATCTTGGCTTCCCTGGTGGCGCAGTGGCTAAGAATCCGCCTGCCAATGCAGGTGACACGGGTTCAAGCCCTGGTCCGGGAAAATCCCACATGCCACGGAGCAACTAAGCCGGCGCACCACAACTACTGAGCCTGCGCTCTAGGGCACGCGAGCCACGACTACTGAAGCCCTCGTGCCTAGAGCCCATGCTCCACAACAAGAGAAGCCATCGCAATGAGAAGCCTGCGCACTGAAACAAGAGTAGCCCCCGCTTGTTGCAACTAGAGAAAAGCCCGCATACAGCAACGAAGACCCAACACAGCCAAAAATAAATACATTTATTATATTAAAAAAAATTATCATCTTGTTTCACTACGATGTAAATTGAGTAGGGTCTTAGAGCATGCTAGCTTTTGTAATACCCACATTTCAGAGGCCTACCCAAGAGAAGATCCCTTTCTGGCTTGCACCACAGACTAATGCAGGTCAGTGACAGGGAATAGCATTGCTCCATCCAGGGTCTTTGAACATAGAGGCTCACACAGGATGTGTTTTAGGAAATGTGGTAGATGTGGCCGCTATGCATCGAGAACTTTTCCTTTCCTCTCATTCTAGGTACATGGAAGGATTGTATTTCCTGGTCTGTTTGAAGGTAGGTGTCAGGTGACATCAGAGCTTTAACCACGGAAAAGTGACAGATGTCATTTCCAGGTGGAAACATTTAAGAACCAGTGCATACTCCTCCATATTCTCCCTCCCCTAAGTCGTGATTTTTTGATTTGGAGGCTCCAGAAGACTGAAGCATCCTGGGATGCTAAGTCAGTGTGTGGGGGAGAAGCTTCCTGGAAAACCTCTGAGGTTTTGGGTTTGTTGTGATCATAGCCTAGCTTACCCTAGACTAGACAGGGGCCAGGCCTGGAGGTGGCACACATTCCATCCACAGTCCATTGGCCAGGACAGTCATGGAAGGCTGAGAAATAACTTCCAGCTGTATGCTTGGATACCTGAGATTCTTGATTCTAAAAGTTGAGGATTTTCATCAATTTTGGAAGATTCATCACCTTTGTCTCTAAATATTTCACCTGCCCGACTCTTTGCTCTCCTTCCAGGACTCCAGTTAAGGCTGTTTGAGATTGTCACACAGGTCTAATGCTCAAGTTTTTTGTCTTTTGATCAATTTTACAAATCAATTTGATGAACTATGACTTTTTAGCAATTTGACTCTTCCAATCAATGACTGAAGTAGCTCTCTCCATTTAACTTTTTAAAAATTTCAGCAACATTTTACAAGTTTTAAGGGTAGAGTTTTTGCATATATTTTGTTAAATTATTTAAATATTTTTAATGCTACTGTAGTAGATGACTTTTTTTTAAATTTCATAGTTTGTTAGTTGCTAGTATAAAGAATGAATATTGTTAAAATGACCATACTGCCCAAGGCAATCTATAGATTTGATGCAGTTGCTATCAAAATACCAATGGTATTTTTCACAGAACTAGAACAAATAACTTCAAAATTTATATGGAAACACGAAAGACCCCAATTAGCCAAAACAACTTTGAGAAGGAAGAACAGAGCTAGAGGGATCATGCTCCCTGACTTCAGACTATACTACAAAGCTACAGTAATCAAAACAGTATGGTACCGGCACAAAAACAGACACATAGATCAATGGAACAGGATAGAGAGCCCAGAAATAAACCTATGCACTTATGGTCATATGGTCAGTTAATCTACGACAAAAGAGGCAAGAATATACAATGGAGAAAAGATAGTCTCTTCAATAAGTGGTGCTGGGAAAACTGGACAGCTGCATGTAAAAGTCTGAAATTAGAACATTCTCTAACACCATGTACAAAAACAAACTCCAAATGGATTAAAGACCTAAGTGTAAGACGGGATCCTATAAAACTCCTAGAGGAAAAACATAGGCAGAGCACTCTTTGACATAAATAGCAGCAATATGTTTTTGGATCCGCCTCCTAAAGTAAAGGAAATAAAAAATAAACAACTGAGGTCTAATTAAACTTAAAATATTTTGCACAGCAAAGGAAACTATCAACCAAACAAAAAGATGAGCCACCGAATGGGAGAAAATATGCAAATGATATGACCAATAAGAAATTAATATCCAACATATATAAATAGCTCATAAATATTCAACATATATGAACAGCTCATACAAAACAGCAACATCAAAAAAACCAAACAACCTGATTAAAAAAATGGGCAGAATAACTGAATAGACATTTCTCCGAAGAGTAAATGCAGATGGTCAACAGGCATAGGAAAAGGTGCTTAACATCACTAATCATCAGGGAAATGCAAATCAAAACCACAACGGGATATCACCTCACACCGATCAGAATGGCTATCCTCAAAAAGAACACAAATAACAAATGTTGGCGAGTATGTGGTGAAAAGGGAACCTTCATACACTGTTGGTGAGAATGTAAACTGGTGCAGCTGCTTTGGAAGACAGCATGGAGGTTCCTTAAACTAAAAATAGAGCTACTATATGATCCAGCAATCCCACTGTTAGGTATATATCCAACAAAAACAAAAACACTAATTCGAAAAGATAAATGCACCCCAATGTTCATAGCAGCACTATTTACAATAGCCAAGACATGGAAGCAACCTAAATGTCCATCAACAGATGAATGGGTAAAGAAGATGTGGTATATATACGCAATGGAATATTACACGGCCACAAAAAAGAACGAAATTTTGTCATTTGCAGCAACTTGGATGGACTTGGAGCACATTATCCTAAGTGAAATAAGTCAAACAGAGAAATAAATACTGTGTGATATCACTTATACGTGGAATCTAAATACAACAAACTAGTGAATGTAACAAAAAAGAAGCAGACTCACAGATATAGAGAACAAACACTGGTAATGGCTACCAGTGGGGAGAGGAGGGGGAGGGGCACCCTAGGGGTAGGGGAGTGGGAGGTAAAAACTATTGGGTGTAAGATAGGCTACAAGGATGTATGTTACGACACGGGGAAGATAGCCAATATTTTGTAATGACTGTAAATGGAATGTAACCTTTATATATATATATATATATACACACACACATAAATAAATTTATTTATTTTTGATTGCGTTGGGTCTTCGTTGCTGCATGCAGGCTTTCTTTTTTTTAGTTGCAGCGAGCGGGGGCTACTCTTCGTTGCGCTGCACAGGCCTCTCATTAAGGTGGCTTCTCTTGTTGCAGAGCACGGGCTCTAGGTGCGCAGGCTCAGTAGTTGTGGCACATGGGCTTAGTTGCTCTGCAGCATGTGGGATCTTCCCGGACGAGGGCTCAAACCCGTGTCCCCTGCATTGGCAGGCGGATTCTTAACCACTGCGCCACCAGGGAAGCCCCAGAATGCAACCTTTAAAAATTCTATTAAAAGAAATGGAATCAATTTTTGTACACTGATCTTTTATCCTGTAATCTTGCAGATTGGCTTGTTAGTTCTAGATTTTTTGGTAGACTGAACAGGGTTTTTAGTTGCACGTGTATCCAATGTTTTTATTAAAGCATAACATGGGCCACCATGATTCCAGCGCCTGAAATCAATTTCCTTATTTCTCTGTCCAGCTGCTAAACCAATGCCATGTATTTTTTTTTTGCGGTACGCGGGCCTCTCACTGTTGTGGCCTCTCCCGTTGCGGAGCACAGGCTCTGGACGCACAGGCTCAGCGGCCATGGATCACAGGCCTAGCTGCTCCACAGCATGTGGGATCTTCCTGGACCGGGGCACAAACCTGTGTCCCCTGCATCGGCAGGCGGACTCTCAACCACTGTGCCACCAGGGAAGCCCGCCATGTATTTTATTTTAGCTGTTTGCTACAGCCGTACCTCACTTTCAGGAACTAATGTCTATATTAGTCAGGGTAGGTTAATTGCTGTATAAAAAATCCTAAAATTTCAGTGGCTTAAATATAATAAAAAGAGTTCTTTCTTACTTTTTGTGGTTTTGTCCAAAGTGGTTTTATTAGGAGGTCATTAAATCATCAGTGATCTGGGCTTCTTCATCAGAGTCCTTCATCAGTTCTTCCACATGTGGACAGAAATTTAGGGGAGAGAGTGTGGATCAAAGTATGTGAGTTTTGTTTTAGGGGTCAGGTCTGGCTATATTTAACTGCAAAGAAAGCTAGGAAATATAATCTAGTCCTGTACTCAGCAAGAACAGGAAATGGCTACGGGGAATATCCACCCAATCCTTGCCACATGTGGCATTATCCCCATTTTACAGATAAGAAAACTGAGGCTTGAGAGGTTAAGTGATCTCCCAGCTTTTACAGTCATAAACAACAGAGCCTCGAACTGAACCCCAATATGGCTGACTCCAAAGTCATGCTCTGAATCGCTCTGCTATGGATAATGCTTTCTCTCCTACTGACTCACTGGCCTGTGCAATCTTAAGACCTGTGGCAATCTTTTCCCCCTTAGAAGGGTTTCCTCCAAGCATCCACTTTTTCCTTCTGGTTCTGGCTTTTATTAATGGGTAATCTGTTCGCTTATAAGCATCCTGGTCCACGGGCTTAGTCTTCAGCAGATAAAGAGTCTGAGAGCCATGGCAATAAGCCATAAGAAGACATCGAAACAGAACACAAAGAGACATAGAAGCAGATATCAAGTGGTTTATTGACAGGGTATCTGCCCTCCAGTGTTGTTTTACAAGTATTGTCAAATGCAAAGTGTCTCAGTAGAAGAGACCACATCTATAGATCAGCGCGTGTAAAGAAAGCACTTAAGAATGGGAATTAGGACTTCCCTGGTGGCGCAGTGGATAAGAATCTGCCTGCCAATGCAGGGGACACCGGTTTGATCCCTGGTCTGGGAAGATCTCACGCGCTGTGGAGCAACTAAGCCCGTGCACCACAACTACAGAGCCTGTGCTCTAGAGCCTGAGAGACACAACTACTAAGCCCACGTGCCACGACTACTGAGCCCACACGCCACAACTACTAAAGCCCGGACGCCTAGAGGCCGTGCTCCGCAACAAGAGAAGCCACCGCAGGGAGAAGCCCACGCACCGCAACAAAGAGTAGCCCCCCACCCCCGCTTGCCACAACTAGAGAAAGCCCACGCGCAGCAACGAAGACCAACGCAGCCACAAAAATAAAAAATAAAGTGTATCCAAGCTGCTTTAAAAACAAAAAAAAGAATGGGCATTAGATGGCCTCCTTACCAAACCAGCCTTGTCCTGCTGTCGCACAGCCAGCCAAAACGCTGAGACGCCGAAGTTCACAGCAAAGAGGGTTCTTCGCAAGGCAGCCGAGCAGAGAATATGGGAGAAAAATCTCAGATCTCAAACCTGCCTCCCCAAAGGCGAGGGGCTTGGGGGTATTCACGGGATGACGAATAAAGAAGCAGGGCGGTGTGAAGCGCGGGCGCACGGGGAAAGGTTATGGGAAAAAGGTGCGGGAATCATGGTTCTGCGCAGGCGTAACTAAGCTACGGGTCCCTGCAGGTGCCCAGCTGGAGAATCGCCGGTCCTATCCAGTTTTAACTGGTTAAGCTGAACTAGAGGCAGCTGCAGCTCCAAGTTCCTGGAAAACAACTCGGGCAAAGATCTTGCTGTTCGGGCTACGTGCGGCTTGGAGGCCACGCAAGCGTTAAAGCGATCGTGATTAGTGAAGGCAGGTGGAGTGGATTTGACTCATCACGCACCGTTTCAGTCTCACAGAACTGGAGGACTGTCTCGCTCCTGGCTGTTTCTTCCCTACAGAGTGAGGATTAGGGTTGTTGCTGAACAGTGGGTTTTTTCCCACCCTCAAGCAGTGCCAGGCAGTGTAAGGAACATAGATCTTCTAAGGAAGATCTATTGGAGGCCGTTTGCATGGACCAAGTTGGACCTAAAGCGTGCCAGGGGGGAGGGGGGAGGGTCCGAGGCTCCTTCGTTAAAGCTGAGTACTGGCAGAAGGGAGGGACTGCACACAGTGAAGAGATCATGAGGACACCCACCCCACCAGTGTTACATTTACCCTTTGCTCTTACTGTATTCTCTGCTTTTATACTTATATTCGCTTAAGCTTAGCTATTCCAGGAAAGAGTTAGAAAACATGTAAGTCAGACTCTCACAAAAAAATGTAGTACACCTGGCTGTTTGGAACCGTCTCTTGGGCACGACATCCACTACACAACAACGTGCCCCCAAAGCAAGGGGAGCTTGGTGACGTGGGAGCACCTCCCCCCAAGGCCAAAGCCCCAGTGGGCAGAGTCCCGAGCTGGCTGCCGGGTGAGAGCACCATCTATCTGTGGCTTGGCCCTCCTCCAGGGGCTCCTCGGCTCTGCTGGGAAATAGCACTTGTTATGGGCGTCTAGAACTCTGCTTCCTGTTCATTATCAGTTCAAGGAAGAATCTGTTTTTTTAATTTCCCCAGTATTGAATGTGCTTGGAGGAACATATTGAGCGCAATACGTTTGTCTTTTCACTTTAGATTCATATAACTTGCTGGAGACGCTGGTGGGTAGATCCTTAGACACAGCTGCACTGCATTCCCCTGTTGACACGCTCTTATCTCACTTGGAATATAGGGTCTGCTTCTCCCTCCATTTCCATGGACTGTGATCCCTGGCAGTGCATTTCTAACTTAAAAAAAAGTATGTTGGAAGCATTCTGAATTCTGTCACAATCTTTGGCATGGGTTTTTATGGAACTTGAATTTTGGTTGAGTTGCATTTAACCTTGGCTGCATTTAGGGTTTATTAGTATTACCTGAATTCTGGGAGACACGGAATTTGGAGGGTGGGAAGGTGGGTGGATTGGACAATAACACGGGCTGAGTAGTTTATTTATCCAAATATTTCTTGACTTCCTACTCTGCCCGGCAGGGTAACAGATGCCCTAGAAATAGAGATGAAAGACAAATCCTTACCTGCAAGGATTTTGTGGTTCCATGGGGAAGGAAAATCAGGAAAGAAAGGTTGACAGTATGGCATAATGAGAATTACGCACAAGGGGTTGGGAACCTGGGCGAGGGACACCCACCTCATCAGGAACCTGAGGATAAGCTTCCCAGAAAAATGACTCAGGCTGGTTCTTGAAGGGCACAGGTGTGAGAAAAGCAGGAGGATCCCAGGTAGGGGGCGGATGCTTGACAGAAAGAGCTCTGGTTACAGGAAGGGATGGGGTGGGCGCAGGGCCTTACTCCTCTGAGGCTGAAGGGAGAAAGAGGTGTGAGGCACAGGTTTGTGGGAAGGGGAGGGGTTGAGAGAGCCCTGCGGTGGCCTGGATTTCTCTGGGTTACTCTGGAGGGTAAGGGTTGGGGGTGGAGAGAGTGGTGGGTTTCCAAGTAGCCACAGATGGAGCGGATGAGCACAGACGCTGGCCCGAGGTTCCCGCAGTTCTGGGAGTCTGGGTGGAGAAGCAGAGCTGTAGATGGTTGAAGTGGGTAGCAGGGAGCTGAGGGTATGGCTGAGAAGATGGGTGGAGTTTAGGCTGGTTGGGGACCTTGTGAAACCAGGAGGCACAGAAAAGGCAGGCCCAGGAGCCTGGCAGTCCTCAGGCCCGAGAACACTGGCCATGGAAGCCAGGATAAGAGGGCTGGGTGAGGATATTGGAGTTGCTGGGAGTGTTAAAATGGTGCAGCCGCTGTGGAAAAGTCTGGCAGTTCCTCAAAAAGTTAAGAATTACCATACAATCCAGCAATTCCACTTGCAGGTGTATGTCTTAAAGAATTGAAAGCTGGGACACAGATGCTTACACACCAGTGTTCAAGCAGCATGATTCACAGAAGCCAAAAGGTGGAAACCACTCACTTATCCATCAACAGATGAATGGATAAACAAAATGTGTATACATACAATGGAATGTTATCAGACTTAAAAAGGAATAAAATTCTGGTATACGCTATAAGATAAATAGATGAACCTTGAAAACACTGTTGAGTAAAATAAGCCATACATAAAAGGGCAAATATTGTACGATTCCACTCAAATGATGTAGCTAGAGAAGGGAAATTCAGAGACAGAAAGTAGAAGGGTGGCTGCCAAACAGAAGGGGAAATGGGGAGTTATGGTTTAATGGGCACAGAGAGTCTGTTTGGGATGATGACATTTCTAGAAAGAGCTAGTGGTGATGTTTGCACAACATTGTTAATTTAATTAATGCCACTAACGGTACACTTTATTTAAAAATTTTTTTTAAAAAATATTTTTTTTATTTTTTATTGAAGTACAGTTTATTTACTTATTTATTTGTCCACGCCCCGTGGCATGCGGGATCTTAGTTCCCTGACCAGGGATGGAACCCGTGTCCCCTGCATTGGGAGCTTGGAGTCTTAACCACTGGATTGCCAGGGAAGTCCCTCTTAACAGTACACTTTAAAGTGGGTAAAATGGTAAATTTTATGTTATGTACTGACTTTACCACAATAACAATAATGTTTAAAAAGATGACTGCTGGGGCTTCCCTGGTGGTGCAGTGGTTGAGAGCCCCTCTGCCGATGCAGGGGACGCGGGTTCGTGCTCCGGTCCGGGAGGATCCCACATGCCGCGGGGCGGCTGGGCCCGTGAGCCGTGGCCGCTGAGCCTGCGCGTCCGGAGCCTGTGCTCCGCAACGAGAGAGGCCCCAACAGTGAGAGGCCCGCGTACCGAAAAAAAAAAAACACACAAAAACTGCTGGAAGGGTGAGAAGGCCGTCAGAGGGGATGGTGACTCACCGTGGTGGAGCTCCGGTGGGCCGTCCCGGGGAGGACCTGGTGGTGAGGCCGGCGAGCTAGAGGCTGCCTGGCACTGAAGTCTCGCGAGAGGGCAAGGCCCTAGTGCAAAGGATGTCGGCTCCGCACCCAGATCCGGGATGAACTTGGGAAGCTCTTCGGATGGCAGGTGACAGCAACGCCTTAGGCCTCAGGGATGGAGCTGGGGAGCCGTGAGGGTTGGAACGGCTCGGGAGAGTTAGTGGCAGTGAGCATGCTCCCCGCCCTCCGCCCAGCTGCCCGGGAGCAGGTAGTGAAACGACCTCAAAGCCCGCCCTCCACCGCCACACATAGTGGCAAATTTTAAATGCAGTGGTGGGTTGCGAACATGTTCAGAGGTATTGAATACTCTCCGGAGGGCTAAATAACTTACAAAAGATGTGGCTGGTAACGATAACCTCTGTAGCCTCAGAACTGGTCTGGTTCTAGAATAAACAAGCATGCCAGGCTGAGTGTACAGTGATTCCAAACAGTTTAATGTAATTCCAAGACAAAGTGTGATTACATTTCTACACATATACAATATGCATATGTGAGTTTACAAATTTTAATTAATAACTCGTTTCACCTCAGAGACCGAAAAAATGATCAAAAAGAAACTGTAAGTAACAAGCTATAACATAGTTCACCACAACGGGACCCCCCTTTCTCACCCTACAGTTAGTAATATTACAATTAAAATAACTATATTCTTCTATAATTTTTTTCTGTTAAAATCATCTCATAAATTTACAATGCTATTATTAGTTTCCAAGACTAATATAAATTCACTCCATTTTTCTACAACGAAAATGATCATTAATTTAGAAGCACACGACGTCATGATGAAAAACACAAGCATTTTAGTAGCAAGGACTTGATCAGTTAAGAATTATTTTTCTTGTAAAACATTCTAAAGCCAAGTAAAATATCCATTCTTATACCTATAATATGAGACTAAGGGATAGGTTACATATAGGCCTACAACACATTGGTTTGTCTTTTTAAAAAAGTAGACATTTATAAATAAAAAAAGAAAAGAGGGACAATTCACATAGGAAAAAGAGGTACACGAGAAAATACTGTTGCACGCAATAATTTTCACAAAGATTAACATGGATTAACACTTTTTATTACAGAAACCGTACAGTGAAGGAACACAACAGGCCAGGGCTTCCATAGGGTAATTGAGCTGAGATGACCTGGTAGAGAAAGATCTGGGCGAGATGGCCCTGGGGAGGAACCGCGTTCCTGAGACCGGTGATTGAGCCTCACCGGGCCTCCTCTTCCCTGCTCTCATTCTGGGGAGTGCGGCTTTCTATCCAGGGTGTCCTGAATTTGTGGGCAGTTGAAAGGTAAACATTTCTACAGATCCGTTCTCTTTCCATCCTAATGGATACCATTTTTGGAAACATGATATAATATCAGAGGCTGCAGCTCAATAACATGTGGTCAAAGCAAAACAGGATGGAAAATTCCGGTCATTCTGATGTGCTGCCCCCCTCACTCATCTATGCCCTTGTCGCTAGGGACCCAGAGAGCAGCGGCTCCCCTTTGGGGCCACCTGCCTCCACTGTGGCAGGGTGGTGGCCGGGGCCCGGCGCCCGGCCTCAGGCCACGTGCGAAGGTGCAGCCTGGGCCGCCCCGGGCTCCCCCCATCCACCACCCAACGCTGACTCCGACTTCTAAAAGCTCCTCTCCCCCCTTCATCCGTAAAGCTATACTTTTCCTATCAGAAATTTGGTTTGATATATATATACACAAACATATATATCAGCATCTATATCTATACAGTGATTCTACTAGACTGGAAACTCTGCTGCCCCAAAGTATGACTTCCTGGTCTACTTCATTTGGTTAAAAAAAAACGCACAGAAAGAGGATGAGGAGATGCTTTGGGGGCCAGAAATGATTGTGCCCTGGGAAAGCCACAGAAGAAAGCTTTAAATGAGCAGTAACACAACAGTGAAAGGGTGAAAGGTGACAGGGGGAGTGAGACGGTGGGGAGAAACCATGCGCCGCGGTGGCGGCGAACAGGAATATCTGCAGGAAGGGAGGAGGGTGGGGTGAGGTGGGGACACTTTAGGTTCCATCCATAAGTCACAGAAAGCTACGAAGGATGGGCGTGGTCAAGTCACTTTCCATCTCCCAAGTTCTTCCTGAGCCAAACTATTAAAATAATAATTAATAATAATAATAATAACAATAATAACAATAATAGTAAATCCATTGCCCCTTCAACCAAGCAGGCGAGCATCTAACAGGGAGGCAAGATCACCACTCACAAGTCTAAGTGGGTCCTTCTTCCTGGCTCTTGAGAGCTTCCTGGGAGTCCTGGGTGCCTGGGCACGGGGCTGTGGTGACAGCAGGGCAGAGGCCAAGGTGGCCTCGGGGACAGTGACCCAACACAAGAAGGGGGGAGGGAGTGCCAGGAGGTTCATGTGGAGGCTGGCTGAAAGGCAACCAGAGAGCGAGGGCAGAGTCCTTTTTCAGATACAGCGTATGTACTTAAAAAAAAAAAAAAAAAGCCAATTTCTATACCTTTATTTTTAAAAAATATGATTAAGCCCCAAAGACCATGACATAAAATTCATTTGGTTAATTAAATCAAAGGGAAAAAACCAAACAGAGGAAAGCAGAGGATAATTAGGAGGGGCAAGATGAAAAATATTTTACAATGACATTTCTAACCAAAAACCGTGATAAGAGCATACTGTCAACAGAGTTCACAGCGAAAAAGCAAATGCATTAAAAACAACCACCAGTTCGTTCCCTGGTCCCAGGTGTTCAGCAGTTTTCAAGGTGTTATCTGCTAAAGGAATGCCCTTCAGATCACAGCAGGTCCTCTGCACCAAGGTTGTGGCACAAGAGAAAAGAAGAAATGAACCAAAACTCTTAGGGAAACTGGCTCCTGCATCATGGTGATGGGCCCTCTCAATTATGACCTCTACTCGGACGGATCTCACTGCTCCTCCCCCCTACCCCCATTGCCCCTCGGTCCCCAGTCCCCTCCTCCCCCACTCAGCAGCACTTACAATCTCTAGCAAAAAATCTAGATCCCACCTCCTAATGACCTAGGCTTTAAAACGAAGTTTGACAAAGAGTGAAAAGGAAACACAACCTTTTACACTTATTTTGTTTTAAAGGAGAAAAGGAACAAATGACAGCAGATAGATGGAAAACCCAACCAATAAGTATGGGCACAGGGGTGTATGACTGTCCCCTGCAAAACGCCAATCAGAATGTTGCTGGGGGCCCAGAAATAGCAGCTGTACCTTCGGGGCCACCTGAATCCCAGTGTCTTCTACTGCCCGGTGACTGGAAGTCAGTGGACCGATGAATAAATTAAACATTCAAATCAAGACAGAATCAACAAACCAGGTATCTGTTCTCTCTGCCTCTTCCAAGATGTCAAAGAGAAGGCCTTGACGACCAGTGTGGATACAACGTGGCACGAGATCTTCGCATCTGGCCCAGGCTGTGGACTCACCCCTTCCCTGCTCGACCTGGAAATCCTTTCACATTCTCTCATGTTCCCATGGAAACCAGTAATGTGGAAGGCTACACAACAGTACGGGTAGAACACACCTGCCTTGGGGTGCCTTGGGGGAACGTGGCCTCCAACTAAAGAGGCGAAATTGCTGGGGTTTGAAGATGTCAGTTATAAACAGAAATTTTCTTTAAAAAGTACCAGTTTACATGTAAACTATAAAACACTTTAACTATAAAACGTAGCCAGAAATATGCTTAAGTATCCACAGTCAATTATTTAGTTCACGTGTTTTAAAATGTGACTCTCTTGATATCTTAGAAGCCTAACAGCATTTTACAGTAGCTAAAAACATATATACTTAACATGTGCATTTGAAAATCACATTTGATTACAAAACACAAGGAATAATCTCTTCCTTGGTTCCATTTTTGTTGTAAAGATTACCTATTTTCAGAGTTCACTTAAGCAACGATGACCAGGGTGTGCATTAATCGTTATTTTCAGCCCACACAGAGTTCATAGTCTTTTAAATCCCAAGATCAAGCTGGCTACATGATTTCAAAAAAGGCTATAACCAGGATGAATGCCCACATTTGAGGTAATTATTGCCATCAGGTCACAGTTTGTGTAAGATAATGTATCTAAAACCTTCTTTAAAAAAATCTTTAGGTGTTCTGTCAGAATTCCAGAACACCTATTGAATGAAACCAACCAGGATCTCAAATTCTGATCAGCTGGGTTTGCTTCCAATGGAATTTAAGTTCTAGAAGATTCTAGAACTTGTGTAAACTACCTAAGAATTTAGGCAAACATGCCTGGAGCCAGTCAATAAAGTAGTTTTTAAAGTAAAAAAAGAAACGAAAACCCCACCCCAAACAACTGAGGAGATGTTTCATAACAAATGGTGATAGTTTTCTAAAAAATTAAAAATCTAGTCCTAAAGCATTTCTAAATTCTCGCCACCTTTCAAGCAAAGTAAAAATCTTCTGTGTTACTATTAATCTCATGCCTCGGCAAGAGACTCTCCTTCCTTATCTCCTGAAAGTTGGCTAGCTTTTCTCAGTTTACACAACTGTTGCTTTCCATTTCTTTGAGAAGACTATCTCGAAAGAAAACTTTGTTCCTCTTTCTGAAAGTCATCTTGTCTTTCTCCTTCTTCTTCTTCTTCTTCTTTTTTTTTTTTTTTTTTTTTTTTTAAGCACAAAGAAAACAGTTCCTGGACACCAGACCCACATACGGTATTTACAAATTTGGTGTGAATCCCGCATCTGGTTCTACCCAGAGCTGAAGAGTGGATCGATTACAGAGACCAGAGTTGTCATATTTATCAGTGCAGTAAAAAATAGCATTTTGAAAAAAATATATACCTTTAGTATTGCCTTTCTAGAATTAACTATAAGCAAGAAAAAAAATTATTTTCTTTTTTAAAGAAAAGAACACTTTTTTTTTCTTCACTCTTATAAGAGTTTGTTGTAGCAGCACTACTAAAGCTAATTGGTACACTGGAAAGGAATAGAAAATGAACTCTACTATGAATCAAGAAACTCCCCTAAGATTTTCTCTAAAAGTCAAACTAATTCTGCCCCTGCTGTTTGGATCCAATTCAGGACTCCCTCTACACACAGACCTTCTGCTGAGTTCCATGCATGGGGCAGGGGTGGCACGGGGCAACGTTCCTTCGAGACCTTTCTTCGCTCACACACCTAGAAGACAGCCGAGGCTGGTGTCTGCGAGCTCGGTTCTGGAGCTGGGCAGGCCCAGGTTCAGGGCTAGGCTCCCCTACTAGCTGTGTGATCCTAGGCTGGTTACCAGCTCACCAAGCCAGCTACCTCATCTGTAAGGGGACTAGTACTGCAGATTTCATAGGGTCGTTATGAAGACGGAAGGACATGGGATAAACGTGAGCGACTGTCAGAACAGTGTTTGGCACACAATCAATGGGAACATCATTAGATGGTCCATCAGAGACACGAGGCCACTTACTGATGCTAATTCAAGAAGTGAAACAATTCGTATTTTAGTAAAGGTCTGATTAACAAAAAACTTCACTAGGAACTTGGGGATTTGGGGCCACCATGGTATTTTCTTTCCTTTAACGCATGCTGCTTTCTTAGAGGGTCAGCTGTCTCATCAACTCCTTCCTCTGTAAATGGGGGAGGGGGTGTTGTAAATGGCGTGATCTGAGGGCGCCACGAGCTCACACAGGGCTTGGCACGAGCCTGGAGTACTGAAAGCACTCAGCAAATGGTGGCTCTTATTCACTGGAGGGATGTGACAAGTTTTACCAAGAAGAGACAGTCAACATAGCATTCTAATGCAAGGGCCTGTGATTAGGGGCTCTCGAAGGCTTGCAGGAGTCAAGCTGGGGCACCAGGAAGCTCCCTGCTGGTAGAGGTACCCAGAGCAAGCGTGCCCCACAGGAGGGTCGCTTCTCTGTAAATTCTCACTGGGTCTCAAGGGAAGAACTGGCTTGGAGCTGGCTCTCCTGGGCTTCTGGAAGCTGCAGGAAGGATGTGAGCAGCCTTTCCTAGGTTGGGTCACTCTAGTGAGCGAGGGCGCCGAAAGCCTCCAAAAGGTTTCTACTGCGTTTAAATGTCATTTCACCGTCTCCACTTCTCCACTGAGTCCAGTCTGTGGAGATCAGAAGTGAGCGTCCTAAGGCAGCAAAGCACTGACACCCCGAGTCTGGCCCCAGCGTGCACCGGACCCTGATGCGGCCGCACCTCCTGGCAGAAGGTCTGCTCTGGCTGATGCCCGAGGTAACGTGAGGTTATTTAAGCCCACAGATCCGTGCGGTGCCTCCAGTTTCCCAACAGCAGCAGCATTTAGGGTTACGAACCTCCACTCCTCTTACAAGATGAGCACAGTTTTAAAATAAAAGCAAAAAAAAAAAAAAAAAATTCCAAGTCAGGATAGAGACGAAAGAGAGAGACAAATGGGATCGCATCTCTGACAAAGTCATTATTGCCGGGAGAGGAACGCCACTCTGTCCATATCTGGGGTGTCTTTGAGAAGGGTTCTTTGGCTAAAGAAAGGAAGACTTTCACTTTCCTTTCCAATTTGGTTAGGACAGCTCGGGCCTGCTCAACTCTGAGGCTTCCCCATCTGAAATCTGTAAGACACACCAGAAGGAAAAGACAGAGAAGAAAAGGGAGGGGAGCATGCATGGCCCTGGCTGGCATATTTCTTGGCAGAATTGCTTGGGCTGGCGTTGAGCGGCACCCGGCGAGGCCCGTGACCTGCGGAAGGAGCCCCGGCCTCTCTGCCGCGCCCTCCCTGCTGCTTGGGGGCACCTCGCTTTCCTCTTCTGTCTCTTCTGTCCCAGCAGCTGCTGAACAGGCCAGCGAGAGCCCCACATCCTACCCCGCCCCAGCGCCAGAGAACCCGGGAGGAAAGCTGGGGCGAGCCCGTCGGCGCACCGCGTTTCATCAACCACAGCCCATCAGCAATAGCTCCGTAAGCCTCCTCATATCCTTCCTCCAGTTTCCAAGAAAGTCTGCTCCACTCACTCACACGCACTCACACAACCCAAATCCTCCACCGCAAGCTTGTTCCAAAATGAGTGTTTGCAACACCAAAGGTCTGGTCAAGGGAAATCCGCCCGTTAGCAGCTGGGCTGATCTCACCTTCCCTTCCTTACATCCCACAATCTGGTGTTTGGGCGGGTTGAGTCTTCCAGGGTGAAGAGGACAAGGCCAGCTGGCTCCCACAGCCCGCCAGCCACCCACCGCCAGTAAGGCCGGAATGCAAATACAGTCCAGGAGACAACCGCTGGTTGACCCCAACCCTTCTCTTCCCTCTGCACTCCATCAACCACATGTTCCACTTCACAGTATTAACCGGCACCAAGCCTCAGACTCTCGCACCCATCGGCCTGCTCACCCCTCTCCTTGGAAACAGCCAAAACATCACGGAAGAGCCCCTAAGCGCAGAGATACGGGTGCAAATACCCAGAGGGGTCTGCGAGACCCCACCGAGCAGAAGCAAATCGACCTGCGGTTCCTAAGGCTCCAGTTACGAGGTTCTCCTTGCCCGGTCCTTTTCAACCTTCCCTTTTAGCCTTAACCACGTTTCCTCAGTAAAGAGAGATGGAGTCAATTCCACAGCAGATGATGTTCTAAGTTGTTTGTGATCTAAATAAGGACTAGGTCTGCATTCCTCTACATGAGAGCTGGGTCTTAGGGACGGCAGCCTTTTATTCATCCTATTGGCCAGGGCGACTCGGAGCTGGAGGGCAGGATGGGAGCTGGGGCAGATGCTGAGGAAGCCCACGCAGGGGCTGGCCTCTCCCACTGGGGTCTTCTCCTGGGGCTTCGGAACCACAGCTCTGTGCTCGGCTGGAAAAGGAAGGCAGATAGCGACTCGGGGAGGGCGCTAATGTTTGCTGAGCGGCTCTGGGCTGGGCATGGCCTGGTGTCTCCCTTCATTAGCTTCAGTGAAGCCAGCCATTCCAGACCTTCCTTTACCCACCCGGGGTCCGGCAGTTTCTGCGTTTGGTGGGTCGCGTGTAGGCACCTCAAGCTGATTTAAAAAGCCCACGGCACACAGCACCGTGCCCTAAGGGGCACAGTCGGAGCCCCGTGGGCCTGGCTCGAGGCCCCACTGTGCCCCTCCGTCGGCCAACTATTTCAGGGGGGCAGCAGCCTGCAATGTCCAAGGAGCTGCTGGACTTTTGTCAGTGTTCCTCTGGCCTCCTATTAACCCTCCACCTTTTTTTTGGCTCCATAGTTTGTCCCTACAATTGTGTGCTGAGAACATGTACCGGGGTTCGGGGGGCACTGAAGAAGTGGGCAGTGTGGTTAGTGAGAGGAAGGGAGGCTGACGTTTCCCAGGGGAAGGTACCACCTGCCTAGCACTTTCCATCAGCTTGTTTACCTCCAGTGGCTTCTAGGAGGGGTCAGTTATCTCTGCACCGAAGGATGTAAGCCATACTCCTGGTGTGCTGATGGGAAAAGGGGGGGACATTTGGGAAAGGGGCTGAGTCAGCTCTGGGCAGAGTTTTTTTTGTTTTTTTTTTTGCTTGACAGGTCAGTATCAGACACGAGGCATGCCCAGGATCTACTTAGCAGGTTTCAGAAGCACAGGGAACATGGGAGAGGACCACGGCTAAGGGTTCAGCCCATGAGATGCCTCCTCAGATCTCCTCTCAGGCCACTGAGAATCTAGAAGAATACAGCATTGATGGTGACCATGGACCATGTTGTCCAGAGCCCAATCTGACCTGTATAGAGATACAGGCTTTGATTCTTCAAACTTTTGTTCTGTGGTGGATATTTCTTGACATTTTCCTAATTCCTGGATCTTTCCTTTCCTTCTTTTTGGTCTGACAAAACTAGACATCTGCATGTCCCTCCTGTTTACTCAGATACTCACAGATATAATAAAATAAACTTAAATATTAAAGAGAAAACACAAAGATACGTGGAATAAATGTGCATTTTAAAACCCCAACTAAAGTATCAAAATGATGATTATGATAAAAACCAAAATAATTAGTACAATAATATCTTTATGAGCAGCACGAAACTTTCATTCCTGATCTGGAAGAAAAGGAAAGAAAATATCAGGTGAAAGAGCAACTTCCAACTTAAGTAGACAAAATAATTTTCTTTAAAATGGAAGGCTATGTTGTCTTTTCCTATAAAAGATCAGATCTAGAAAGGGCTGGAAGTGAACTGTACAAGGGGGTCCAGGATGCTACCCAATAAGGCAAAAATGCTGGCTCACTGCAGCCAAGACTTCTGTAACTGGGCGCGGGAAGATCGGACGGGGCACTGCTGCCCTCCGGATGCCAAGAGTCCAGAACAGAGATGGTTCCCCAGGCTGGCGCGGCTCTGGGAGCACTCTGGCTCACATGTCCTCCAAAGACTTTCCTCCCCTCACTCTCTGGACGGGCCATGTTTCTGTCGTCTCAGAACGACGGCACTTCCCCATGTCCGGATAAAGACGTATTGATCGTGGCACCACGAGGACAGAATCTTGTCCTGTTGCCAATGGCTCCCTGGCGGGCCCGCTGGGTACCTGGGGCTCTGCCCGAGCCTGCCCTGCCTCGAGTGGGACATGGTGCCCTTCCTTCCTTCCGGCCTAAGGCTGGGACTAGGCTGGTTCCAACCTGGGGACCGATTTCTTTGTAGGATAAGTAGCATTTATGCTTGGAGAGGGGAAATTTCCAGAGTTATTTCACATTTCACAGCTAAGAGCTAAGGTAAGGGCTTGGCTTCGTTACTGAATTAGGTCAGATATCACGATAAAAACACCTTTCACAGTAGATCGATCGTAAAGGGAGACCACAGGATGAGGACAGAAAGTGAGGGAGGGTGAGGACGGACTTCTGTCCGAAACTGAGAGCCATCTCTCTGCACCCTGGAAACTTGGCTTTGGGGTCAGTTAAGCACTCGGCATCAAGAATCAAACAATTAGGACCACGCTTTCAAGTCCCACTGATGACCAGACAGCGTTTCCCAACATTCATGTATTTTAAGAATAATTTGCTATGGACAGAGTGACCCCTCTGCCCTCACCCCCACCAGTGTTCAAAGCCTGAGAAAAATTTCAGAATGTATCAAAGGTGCAAAGAGGGCAAAGGGCAAATTTCCTTGGAAACTGAACTGCCCGTGGGAGCGTTTTCCAAAGTGCAGTACAGGACTACATGGTTACCCTCATAAATGTCCCTCCAGCCTCTGCCCACCAGACTCCTCAAAAACAAAAAACGAAGGCGTTCCTTGGGTAGGCCTGGGTAACTCGAGGAACGATTCAGCAGCAAACGACGGCTGATGGCTGTCTACAGGGGGAAGGACCCGGCAAAACGGTGAGAGCAAAACACAGCTGGTGGAACCAGAGGAGAGGGGGCAGGGCTGCGAGAGTGAAGCGGGGCGGGGTGGGGGGGGGGCGCGAGTCTGAGAACACGGGGCTGGGCCCGCTACCAGGCCTCCTCTCCATCCCGCGGACAGCAACAGGGAGGCTGTGCCAGGACTGGAGGCTGAAGACGGCTGCCTGGCAAGGCCAACATTCCTAAAACAGAGATGGGACCTGCGGTCCCAACGAATGGCAGAGCCCCTGCCCTCCCAACCCTGGGGGCAGAACTGGGTGAGGGTACAGGGTGGGGAGTCTCTCTTGCTCTGTCTCCAAAGTAAAAGTCATCCAAAGCCATCACCATCGTCAGATTCACCCACCACCATCCATCTCGCACATCTCTCTCCAGATCCACGGGCTCACCTAGACCCTGCCAGCTGCCTGACACCCCTCTGCTAGCAAACAGTCCAGGAAAGACAACAGATATTAAAATAAAATAGAAATTAAACAAACAAACAAAAAAAAAAAAAAGAGGAAAGACCAGAGTAAAATGTTGCAACAGCACAGAAGAAGGGCTGAGATGATGTGACTCGCCTCAGCCGGCTTCTTGGAGTACCGTGGAAGTAAACCCTCAACCGCGTCCCCGGTCGCTAAGGCACTAGGAGGGAAAGATGTAAAACCAAGTCTGCGAGAGCCGGCGGCGGTGCCGGGGACAGGAGCGCGGCACCGCGGGCACCCGCGCGTGCACCTGGACCACGGCGCGGGTCACGTGCCTAGGTGAGATCGCTCTTCTTGTGCAATTACATTGAGGAAGTCTCTTGGTATCGTTGGGGGTGAACACAAAGTAGCACAGACAGGTGCAGACTGCGACATCTACCAGGGTGTCGGCGACGCCGCGGGCCCTACGCTACGTGACGAGGGATGGACTCAAAGAGAAAAGAAATCTTCAGAAAAGAAAAAAAATCATTAATGACATTTGAGGAATATCATTGCTTAGGGATTTATCCAGAGTGCTCAGAAAGAGAAAACGCGCCCTCCTCTCCCAGGGGTCCTCCTTCAGCCCGGCTGCCCCCATTGCTCCCAGCAAGTGGGCCAGATCGGGGCTTCCCCAGCCCCGGACCCGCCCCCAGATACCAGCCGCCTCCGGCCACGGCCTGACCTTTCTAGACGGTTGCTGACACTTCAGAGTTCCGGAAAAATCCCTAATTCTTACGTTCAATCATTAAAAATCTATTGGATTTTTAATCCAATAGATTAAAACTCGTATCAGGTGTCCCTGACAGCAAATTCTTAAACGCCACTTGCTGCCATATGAAAATAATCTTTGAAAAATTCATAAAGTTCTTCAAACACTGGGCGGCCCCCCCTCCCCTCCCAATTTCTGGAATCTTCCGTGGCTCTCTTCTTCTCCTTTCCAGTCTGGTGCAGAATGGGTTCGTGAGCTGTGGTTTTTTGTTACTGACGTTTTCTTTTTTTTTCTTTTTCTTTTTTAAAATAAAAAGCATAGATTTCCCCCCCTCCTTAAATCCCTTCCTTTTTAAAATGTTCTCTTCTCCGCTCTCAGTCCTCCTACTTCCTAGTTCAAGTTTCATTTGTGTCCCGTCCCTGCCCCCTGCTCCCCTCCCCTGCCCCGTTTGCATTGTTTCTGTGCGGCACCTTCAGTATAAAAAGCCCAGCTCCCCCCTCGTCCCTCCTCCTTTCTCTCCTACCCTCTGGCCATCCTCCCTCCCCTCCCCTCCCCTTCCAGTGTTTATATGTAAGGGTACTGGTTGACCTTGGCGGGGCTCAGTGGGTATCCAGTGTAGACGGTGGAGGCTGGAGAGGCGCTGATGTAGGTCTGGTGGGCGAACTGGGCTGGATACTGACTCGGGTGGATGGTGGGCGAAGGCAGGACCCGGGGGCCCATGCTCACGGGGACCTGGTGGACGATGCTGGCTGGGTAGGCGGCGTGCTGCACGGTGTGACGCGCCGAGCCTTGGGAGGCCACCAGGTGGGCCACGGTGCCAGTGGAGCCCAGGGCGGCGGGCGCCGTGTAGGTGTAGAGGTGGGGCTGGGCGGGGAGGTGGGCGGCGGCGGCCAGGTGCGGGTGCACGGTGCCGTGGCTGGGGCTGTTGTGTGGGAAGGAGTATGGCGCCTGGGCCATCGTGGGGGTGATGTAGGCCTGCTGCCGTCGGTGGCTCCCCGTGCGATCTGCGGTGATGTGCTGCTGAGCCTGGAGGGGGAGAAGCACCAGGAGAGGGCTGCGTCATCAGAGCTGGACACGCGCACGCATGCGCACCCACGGGAGAGGCCGCGAGGGGCGGGGGCGGGGGAGAGGAGGGAGAGGCGGGGAGTGCGGAGGAGAGCAAGGTGGGGAGGAGGGGGCGGGGGGAAGGCGGAGGGAGAGGAGCGGCAGGCGTAACAGAAGACGCCTCCCTCACGCGCCCGCGAAGGCGGGCAATTAGCCTGGGCTGAGAAGGAAAGCCGTGCCCAGCCATGCTCCGGGCTGGGTGACACTCAGAGCCAGACGCAAAGGGAACGGGAGCCAGTAGGTCCCCCGAGGGCATCCTGCAGCTGTGAAGTGTCGAAAGGAGCCCCTTTCTCTCTCACCGTGAAGTCCTGCTCCCTAAACTGCAGGCTCTCAGACACTTGGCTGTCTGAGGTCACAGGTACACAGGAAGCAGCCCTCTCTCACCTGGAGAACCTAAGTCATGACACGGACGCGGCCTCGGTTTACAGCCAGGGGCACCGCTTCCGATGAAGGGCTTCTCAACACAAACTCCCCCTTATCTCACCTCTGAGCTGCTAAGGAAGCAGGGCCCGCAGTCCACTTTGCAACTCGGACCTGAGTGACCCTCCACACACAGGCTGAGCGCTGCCCGTGGAGACTCTGTCTTGTTCACATTCCCCCTGAATGTCACCCACCTTCTCCGAATCCTCCGGCTCTTTTCCTGGGTGTGAGGTCCCTGTGGGAGGCCTCCTCCACTGTAATGACTCGCTAGGCCCAGCATGGTCGGACCATGGGACCCAGACGCAGTGTTTTACCCTTTGCTGGGCCGAAATAGCGAGACGTGGGCCAGCCTATTTTTAAGCTCTGGCACCACGTCACTAAGTACTTCGGAGCATCAGACGAGTCATTTTGCTTTGGGCCGGCTCTCTGTGAATCGGGGATCCGCCTCCCCCAAGGTGACCCACAGCAGAACAAGAACACCAGCGGTCACTCGGGGCGCCTCCTGCCGCCACGGGAGGTGGGCAAGGGTCCACCCTGGCGCCCCTGGCGAGCGGCCGTCGGGCGGGCTTACCTGGCTGAGATTGAGAGGTCGCTGCTGCCGGTAGGCAGTGGCTCCAGATGAGCTCCCTGAAGAGAGACCGCTGGTGGAGGTCACGTTGCTGGAGGACTTGGACTTGTAGGAGGACGAGTGGTGACTGGTGGTGACTGTGTTGGGAGGAGGAAAAGGTCACAGGTCCGTCACAGGCCCTCAGCTGCCTGGAAGACCCTACTCCTTGGGGGACAACAAGTGGTCTTCCAAGAACCCCTTACCGAGACTGGGTGATCACCATTCAGCAGCACTGCCCCAGACCCAGCGACGATGCCGCCTCTGGGCTGGCGCCTGGCCTGCGGCTTGGGAGCAAACCCTGCTGGACTTTAGAATTACTATCTGGTGACACCGAAAAGCATAAGGAGAGTCTAAGAGACAGAAGGAGAGCTCTCTGCAGCTCCTCGTGTCCCAGCCAGGGGTGCCGCGGGGGGCCATCTGCCGAGATGCAGAGACACGCTGACAGATGCAGCAGCGTACAGAAAACCGAGTCTCAAAAGAGGGACTACATGCCCCAGGGGGAGAAACAGCCGGAATAAAATGAATAGGGCGAGGAGGTTTATATTAAAGAAACCATTCGCGTCAGTTTCGGTGCTGAGTGGTCTGTGAACACCAGCTCCTGGCAGAGTGGGGCTCGTGTCTCCAGGGGGCACAGGCAGAGGACTGTACGCCCGGGTACAGGATGTGCGGAATCAAGTGCGACTGTTCGCCTGCCTCTCAGTGTCTCTCTTGACGTCAGACGTTTCTGTGCTGAAGCTCTGTCTAGATCAAGAGGAAGTGATCCACGGTGAGTGCCAAGAAGCCTTTGGCACAGGGAATCCGGACATCCGCCCAAACCTACGTTGTCCTCCGCAGACTCCCCGACTCTAAAACCACTCACGTGTGAGGGAGCTGCCCAGAGCGGGGAGTTCAAGGGGAGACCCTGGTAGCTGAGGGAGAACCGGCAAGACGTACACAGGACCTCAGAGGCAGGTCTGTTTGTTGTGCTGTTCAGCAGAGAATTCAGAAGATTTCCTGGGGCTGAGCATCGTTGGGAAACACAAAAGCCTAATACGGTATCAGTCAGGCACCCTGGGGTCGCGAGTGTAAAATGGGCAAGTCTGGCAGCTCTTGGGTGTGAAGGATGCTAAGAATGAATGAAGCACACACAGTAAGGATCAGGCCCTTGACGTAACTGGGTTGGGTCAATTCTGCTACGAACCCCAGGGTGATGAGATCAGGGTCAAAGAGGAGCCGCGTGAGGCTGGGGCCGGCAAGAGAGAATGCTGATAATTGTTGATGGAGAGAAAGCTGAAAAGTGAAGGCAAACCAGAAACCGGGGGACAGGAGACCGGGAAGCACAATGAAGTCAAGGGGAGCCTTCTGCTCCCCGAGGCCACAGTCCCCCTCAAGTAAAGGGAGAGCTGCCTCACTGGGAAGGGGGCAGCGCGTCCTAACAGAGACCCCAAATCCAACCGTGGTTTGGGGCCCAGCGGCCCTCCCATCCTACCCACCGAAACGCACCCCAGTCGGGGGTGCCTAGGAATTCGTATTCTTCACAAGCTTCCCAGCTGACCTGCATTGTGGAATCGGGGTCTGGGCTCAGGCCAAGCTTGGTTAGACTCTCAAAGGCCCTCCAAAGCCTGGGGGGGTGGAGGGCGGGGTTCGGGGGACCCACTGTAGGCTGAGGGAGGCAAAGCTGCAAATGCTGCCTATCAGGAGAACGTTGTGCCCGTCGATCAGCCATGGTGCCACCGCGCAGGTATCCAACCCTCCCTGCCCTGCCGCGCGTCGCCAGCTGTGTCTGCTGCCTGGGCCCAGCTGTGAGGCACCTCTCTGCTCCTACTTCAACTCTCTGGGCATTTTGCGGTAATTACATTTCAGGGAGAAACTCTGAGTGCAAGGGATCCACAGCGTGAGGC